CGAAGCTTCAGGCTACCCGGAACCAGAAATTTTCCAGAAATTTAGGGGAACGAATCCGGCTTGCGGCCATTGAAGAGGCCTAGCCTTTCAAAGGGCACAGCCCAGGCCCCAAAATTTCCCGGAAATTTTGGGTCCCAGGTAGGCCAAAGCGGCTTGCTCGCCGGGGTCCAGAAATTTCCAGAAAATTTTGGGGCTGGGGCGCTCCGAGGCGTGACGCACAGCATAGGGCTTGTTTGACCGTAGCGTTTTATAGAGTAGATATGTAATAATAAAAATCTATAGATTTCTAATTCATTTTACCTGTATATTCTCATACATCTTATCTATTTCAGATGTTGCCAGAATATCTTATCAATTTCCTTATTTATTTCTCATCTTCTATATTTCCGATTCAATTTTGAAATTGTATAGCTTTCTTGATACCTTGAGCTTGAAGAGGATCACTTTCATGTTGTATGGTGGCCCAGAGCTGTATCACCACAGAATCACAGAGACAGTGCACAATCAGTGCTTTTTCAATCAATGCCCTCGCAGCTTGACAAGTTGTTGAGCTCACATGCTCTCAGATAATAGTTCCCGTAGAGGGTTCTCACCTGGCAGCTGGTGAAGATGCGTCCGCTGACAGGCAACTGCAAGGCAGCTCAGCTACGGTCGGGCATCATTTGCACGAGCATTGCCATCCTGTTCACATAAGAAACAAACTAAATAAATTGAACTAGACGAGAGATACTGGGGCCAAGCATCTCCAGACGCTCTCAAGCTGTACAGGGCAGTTTCGAGCAGTTTTCACACCACGACCATGGCGTCTTGCTTCACAGCCTCATCGCTCAACTTCAGGGGAATCCTGACAGCAAGACAACCAGTGCAGTCATCTGCATTGCATTGGAATGGGCCACAAGAAGCTGCCGGTGCTAGGCAGTGTCCTTACGATGGAGCCGATCCTTAGTGCTAAGTGCAGGCCAGGGTTAGAATGGTTCGCTCGACAATCCTGGCAGCTAGATGTCAGCAAGTTGCGCTGTGTTGATCTTATCCTCGAGTTTTTTCAGGAGCTTCGGAGCATCAACCCGCTCAACCTGATGCCGGAGACTTGAGGTGCCGAAGCCAAAAAAAGCAAACTAGCTCAAGTGCGCGTGGCACCAGGCCTAAAACCGAAACCTCAGACCCTTGAACCCAAAGCCCAACCCGCTATGAGCCCCTAAGCACCGAAGCCCCCCGCCTCCGCCCGCCGCAAAGAAAAACTCAAAAAACAAACTAGCCGAGGCCCGAGCCCGAACCCCTGAACTCCTAAACCCCTAAACCTCTCAACCCCTAAGCCCTCAAACCCCTGAAGCCTAACTTTTGCCGTTTTTTTGTGCTTTTCACGTTTTACCCTTGTCGGTCCGAGGCCCGCTGTAACACGTTTACTTTCTTTCGGTCCGCGGCCCGTTTTTTCGTTTTTGCTTTTGCAGATTTACCCCCTGGACCGTGGTCGCATGGGCAGCCACTTTGCATTTTTCCTTTTTTATCACTGTACCACGTGCCTGGCTGCTTTATGAAATGCTGAATTTCAACGTTGCGGACGGATCCACGTTCAAGATTCAAGATGCCTGAGTTTTTTCTTGGGCATCTTGAATCTTGAATGTTGGATCCGGCCCCAACGTTGAACTTCAACGTTCAATGTTAAACATGTCAACGTCCCAATGTTGAGCTGATAGCTTTAGCTCTCGTGCTGATGGATCCTGTAGTTTAGTTTACCATTTTCACGGATCCAAGTATCAAACTTTCACTTGCTAAGGAACTCGCCCAAGTTTCAAACTTTGATTTGCTAAGGAACGTGAATCACGGCGGCAGGGGAACATAGGGTGACCATATATACACATATACATAAATATATATATATATAGAGAGAGAATATAATCTACATATATTATGTTATATTATATTATATTGTATTATCTTATATATATATATACATACATATAAACTGATTTATGAATTCATTTCTGTTTTGTATTTATTTTCCCTCAATTATCTAACGTTTTGGGGCGTATATTTAAGCTTGGACGGTGGGCTCCCTTAAAGCCAAGGACCGATAAAAATGAGAAAGTGAAACGCTGAAGTTCAACATTGGAAGTTGAAGTTCAACATTTGGGCCAGATGCTGAAGTTCAACTTCGGGATTAGATCCAAGATTCAAAGTTAAAGATTCCAGGCAGTTCTTGAATCTTGAGTCTTGGATCCGACCCCGATATGCACCTGATGCCTTTATCTGCAGACATAGCGGAGGACCATCCACCGAATACTACTTGAACTCAAACATGTTCCTTTATGAAAAAGCAAACTGCCATCACCGCCCCACACTTTCAAGGAACGAGAAAAAAAGCGTGAACGAAAGGAGAAGAATAGCGTTCACGCCGTTCACTCAGTTCGCGCAGCATGTCTAAGCGAAATACCACTCACTTAGTTCTTTAATCACCTTCACGTCTTTTTCTCGCTCATTACGCTCACGTCGTTCACTCACTTCACGTATTACATCAGTATACGAATATTGCGGGCGAGTGACGGAAAAGAACGCCCGCGCCGAATAAGAGAATTATACTCCGAACAACAAAGACGAAGGGCGTTAATGCTGTAAGCTGTGCGCACTTCATTCATGCGATAACTTATGGTCCCAATGGCCTTGAAAACATGTATACTACTGCATCGCAAGCACTATCCCCGTACAAGTTTTGCCACGCAAAGCAGCAGTCCAATTCCATTGCTGTGTTACATCGACGCTTCCCTACTTTGGTTCTCTCTTTATAGTTACGCTAATTCTGTTTGACCTCTTGTTGTTTCTACTGCTTTCTGTTTCACTCTGGGCCCAGGGTCGCATTATTATGAGTAGTACCCCGAAAAGGACACCCCACCTACATATACACACACACACCATGATTTACATGGAACCCTCTGCACACCCGCCAAGACCATAACAAAAATCCCTGGATATTCTTGCTCGGCGCGTGCTTCCGAGCTCACTTTCTCAACACAAAGTTCGGCCACCGGAAGTCTGCATGCCGAGATTGCGTGTTGATGCTGTCAATGCCACCGTCCATCATCTGTGGCCGTAGGCGTGGCATTTATGCAGAGGGGCCATGGACAAGCTCAAAGCTCATCTCGCTCACTCCTCGAACGGGGCTTTTTTCCTTGCCCCGCCTTTCAAAGACAGGCCTTGGCCGGACAGCTCGAATAGAACGCAGCCCAAACCCCACTAGTCCGCAGCAGCAGCGAGGCTCGGGGCGTTGCCCCCCCCTGGGCGCAGCCCCTTAAAATAATATTGATATTGTATCATATCATGTCATACATTCATAACGCGCATATAGAATGAAGAGAGCGCATGAGAGCGCGCATTCATTGAGTTAATTCGTTCATGTGTTTCGTTCACTTGTTCGTTTCACTCACACTTTATGTCAATAATGTTATTTCGGGCGGTTATTAGATTACAAATGAACGCATTATGTGAAGTGAATGCGTAAATCTCATGAACGGGAAAGGACCACAGTTCTAGTTTCATTGTGTGCTCATTGTATGTTATATTGGCGTGCACCCCCATCATCCAATGATAGAATCAACAGCCCGCAGCTTTGCGGACCTTGTCCGACCCTCCCTGCTAGAGCAAGAATAGGCTCAAGCCTAGCTCCGCTTTCTTTCGTGATAGTACATCGTTCCTTCACTAAACCGTGTGGCGCATCCAACAAAAAAAGGCGGCGATCCCAGAATGTATGGCTTCTGCAAGGAGCGCAGCTCATGTCCAAAGCTGCTAGGAAGCCGAGTTCAGGAGCGTCTGCAACTTGTCCTTCACGTGTCTCTCCACGTACCCGCACCTCATACGGATGAGCTACTCAGCAGTGCTTAGTGTGCAAGCCCTCTCGGAGACATCAACCCTTGGCAAGGTTCAGTCACGGGAAGGACACTGGTGACCCTACAAGTAGAGACCAGTAGAGATCCCAGAGATCGCAGAGATCCGTATGCGGCCTGTCGTGGCACACTTGTCAACAATTCTCTGCTGAGCTGCACCGATAAGATCTCGATGCCCAAGATCTTGATTTTGCACCCATCTGCAGTTATCTTGTCAACATTCCTTATGTTTGGCCAGAAGCACAGAACCATGGAAACACAATCTAGTAACAAATCACGTTGGTGCCATTGCTGGGAGAAGAAGCAGCTTCTAGCACAGGCTTTCAGAGAGACAGTGAGCGACAGGGCAACTTTCAATAGCATCATGCAGGCTGAACACCCCACTTGGCAAATGACGGAGCGCTGTCAGACTTAAGCATGACGAGGAGTTCAGCATGTCGAGATCGATGTACACTTTCAGTTCTTCCTTCTCCTGTGCATGGCAGCATGTCCCAGCACCAATCCAAGCGCTCTTTCGAACATGGTCGTTGGGGTTTCCTCAGTTCCCTTGCCCACGCAATGTTCTCAGGTACAGAAGAACATGAAGAAGTGTCAATGCACTCCGAGCTTTGAGACACATCAATTTGTGCGCTCTTGGCGAACATAGCAAGTGACGGGGGTGACTTTGCCAAGGGCGCCATGCACCAGCAATCGGCGCAGTGGGCGTCAACCCTCAAACCTCTAGCATTGCTAGCAAGGACGAAATGTCTCGAAAGCGATGCAATGCCGCCAGAATGCCACGCATGAAGATAGTGAACCCCCGCCATGCTTTGCTGCGAAGCGGTGGTCGAAGGCAACCGGGTACCCAGGTCGAGTGAGTGGCGCGGAGCGCTGGACAGAAAGAGCTGTGCCTACCGTGCAATGTTGATGGCTCCTAACCATCACATCACACATAGGCATAGGCCATATGCATTGAGGCATAGGCCACTTCCAACCAGTCCATCAGGCATCAAGACCATTGACACATACTAAGTTGCAATCAACTGCGGAGCCTTTACTGACCCGAGACCCATGGAGAGAGAGGAAGAAAGAGATTGGGAGGGAAGAGCGAGAGAGCGATGCAATTGGAGAGGGACACTGACAAAGAAATCCTAGGAAGACACCCCCAAAGACCTGTCTAGTAAGGGAATCAGAGCTGCAGCAGAAGCTCCATTTGAGAACGGTGCCGACAACATCAGCGTGAAAGTTGAAGGACAGGTACCACGTGCTGTTCCTCAATCACGGTTTGTCTCTTATGTTGACAAAAAGCTGCAAGGCTCCATGAAGTTTCACAATAAACCGACAGTTGCTCAACGGTGTCAATTATCAATGGTGCTATGCCCAGGAACCGAAAGCCGACCGGTTGCCCCATGTCTTGACTGCCCTGCTCTAAGGCTCAGGTATTCCAAATGGGCGTTGCTGGCCGTCATGTTGATGCCAATGCCATTCTTACCATCAGAATCCTGGGAGACACAGCACTGCTAGAGTGCTGATGGCCGTCACTGTAAACTCACTGATCTTGAATTCGAGTCACAACGCTGAGGCCCATCGTTTTCCTAGGCTCCAATGCCAATGTCTGCATGTTGCTAGTGGCGAGCGCACGCAAATTTCAACCACCTACCCGTGCATCCAGCTAGGCATGCTTGATTCATTTCAAAAGCCATCCATGGCTTTTGTTCGTCTTGAGTCTGGCTGTGATCGCATACTGAGTGCTGATTGCCCAAAATCAACAGCAACTTGCCGTAATGGCTCCAAGCAAGTTCCTGTGCATTGCGAAGTCGTTCTTGCTCCCCATTCTCGCGTGCGCGTGCATGATAGTTTCGGGGGGTCGCCCTGGCAAAGTGTCCAAATGAGCATAGGAGCTCCCCCAAAAGTGTCGCAAAGGGCAGATTGCACGGCGAGCAGGCGCAGCACGCAGGCACAGCAAGCAAGCACGGCAAGCAAGCACGGCAAGCAGACACATGGTGGCCCAAGGGGCCGAAGAGCCTCGCGGTACACCGCGCTGAGAGACCATGCCTACAACATTCCTTGCGTATTGCAAAGCCCGAGAGCGACTCTGAGCACTTGACCCGGATGACTCTCGTATTCCCAAGCCATGAGTCCGGGCAATCTGCGTGCAGTGGTGTCCAAAGATGTGCTTCCCCACACAAACGCGCACATCACCTGAAATTGGGCTTTTCATCAACCAGCAACAAGAAGAGCACTTGGTGGGAGGCGCATTGCTAGCTAAACTTATGCACCTCCAAAGATAATTGTGCAGAGAGGTTGCCACCAATATCCAAACTTGCGTCCAGCTCTGCATCGATGAAGACCGTGACTGACTTCCTGAATGGAAACGGACATAACCGAGAATACAGCCGTAGCAGAGCGCCAAGTCTTTGAGCAACCAAAGCACCAGGATAGCTTCATGCCACCTGTCAAGAAGCCTTGGCCGCTCGCTGTACGATGTCTTATGCGTGTTTTGCCTGGCTGTCATCGTTTACCGATGTTGTCGCCTTCGATTCAGGGCGTGAACTTTGCGGGAATCTAGCTTGGCCTCACATCATCGAGCAGGAAAGGAACAGATCAACAACCGAGGAGCTTGAGTTCTTGATGTCCCCCTTGGCATGGCCGTTTAGAGCCTCGACCTGCGGCACCAAGCTATTAAAGAAGCCCAAGCATCCACATTTGATCTACTGCTCTACTCTTCTATGTCTTCTATTTTCTTGATGACAAACGAGGGCCACCTAGAAAAAGACAAAAGCACAAACAAACGCAAACGCATCCTTGCACCATGCCATCCCTGTCCTTGTGGTTGCAGTCATCGTCGATTGTTGTGTCAGGGAAGTGTTCTTCGATGATCTTGGTTGGGCGATGTTGGGGAGACAGCTGTGAGAACGGCGATGCTTCCAAGCCGAACACTGCCAGGGCACAATGTCCCCAGGCCCCACAGCAATTGCTGCTTCCGTTTTTTTGAAGAAATCGCCTCAGTTGAAGCAACAACATCGAGCCGAAGACGACTTTTCGCAGCACGTTGCAGCACATCGCACACAGAAACACACAGAAACTCGGTCAGGCTAAGTCGGCTAAGTCTCTCAGGTGAGGCAGAAGAAGCGATGTCGCCAATCTGCAGTGTCAAGCCAATGCTTACTGACACATCTTAAGATGACCTAGACATCCATGACACGCGTTGCTGCCAAGCGTCTCTTCATGGGGCCCCGTAGAATTGAGCTTCCCGAACTGATCCTTCTCTTTCTAGTATGCAAAGGATGCGAAATCGCACAAAAGCTGACTGTAAGAACGTTCTCTTGATCCCAGAGCAAAGCGAGCAAAACGGAGCTAATACACAAGTACCGACGTGTTCACAGTGTCTCCGTGAACAGCAAGAGGAAATGCGGTGAACTAGAGGCAGATGGCACAACCAGAAACTCACTGCAAGCACGAAACTCTGCCCTGGTCTCCGCGGTCTGCCCTAGGCCCTTGTCCTTCGTGAGCTCCAGAGACGTGATGGGAAACCCGCTGGCACTGGTCAAGCTCAGGCCAAGTACCTCAATCCAGCCACACAAGGTCAGCCATTCTCAGCTGTGCGCACAGGAAGAGGACTTCAAGGAAGCTAAACTGTAAATCTGAAGGTAACACAGCCGTAGCACAGTATATCTTCATGCTCAATGCACTTGCCCATGCGGCTCGGGGCCTGCCAGAAGAGCGATGCCACCACAGCAGCCATGGCACACCGAAGCCCGGAAGCTGCTTGAGCCCACTTGAGCTCTCTGGCTGGATAGAACCCGATTCGCACCCAGTTAGTCACGGCATTCACGACTTCGTATGGCAGAAACTTCTGCTGACACCCGTGACAACTGTCGGAGGCTGCGGCTGCTCTGTGGTATCAGGGAAAAGGTTGAAAAAGAACTTCGTCAAACAGCATCAGACAGTGCCCAGCGCACCACAGTGGGGCTGCTTGCACTCAACACGCCGTTGAAGGCAATGACGAACTTGCCCTCCTCGCAGGGCCAGCACAATATGCATGCATAAGCATTTTGCTGCTGCTTAGACTGGTCAAATCAGCGACGTCTACTCCTCCCAAGTGTCATGCTGAAAGCGCGACGTTATGGGATGGTAGGAATTGAAGTGGGACCTGACAGCGACATTACACCGAAAAAAGTCTTGGATGTCCTATACTATATACATATATCTACACATACTCTTGGCAGTCTGATGCTTCAGTTCCTGACTGAGGGGCCACTCGCACTTCTGGCGGATAGACCTGAACTGCTGAAAAGACTGCTCAAGCTGTACTCTGGGTCTGCTTGAAGCAAGTAGTTGCTTGAGAAAGCTGACGCCATCAAGGTCACCTTCTCCTCGAGCTGCCCACTCCTCTGAAGTTGCTGCACCAACACAACTTCATCTCTAACGCCTTCTGCTGAGCACAAGTCCACACAGCAACTGCAGTTGCGAGATCCTCCAAGTCTTCCGATGCAAACTTTCGTGGGTTGTCCTTCATCACCAAGTTGCCCAGGATTGCGGCTAGTCCACATTTGCCCGGTGAAAATCGGCTTTCGAGGAACTAAGAGCACGATGACTCACGATCGTTGTGAACTTTTATACAACTCGGTGCAAAACTTGGGAATAACCTTGCTCACAGCAGCGCATGCGGATTCAGGCCACACTGACCTTGAGGAACTGCCACGCAATCGCTGCATTCTCCCACCTGGGCTTCAAGCACCCGTAAATCAATCACGAACCTCTGCTGCTAAATGCCGAAACAAAAACGCTTGCTCCCATGCCAGTTCAGACCCTTACAAGTCTGATCGTTGCTCTTACAACTGTCCTCCCGGAAATCATCTCATTGTGGATACGTTTAAGGAAGAATACCTTCCGGATCTTATGTAGACACCTGGACGAGTCAAATCCAACCAATTATGTACAGGCTTCTCGATACAAGGCCTGTCACTTCGGAGGCACATGCCCTCACACAGCAGTAGCAAGTCGGAGCAGGTGGTCGAAAGTCGTAGCAAGTAGTAATAAGTAGTAGTAGGTAGGAAGTAAGTGGTAGCAAGTGGTAGTAAGTAGTATTAACTCGTAGTGAGTAGTAGTAAGTAGTAGTAAGTAGTAGTAAGTAGTAGTAAGTAATAGTAAGTAGTAGTAAGTAGTAGTAAGTAGTAGTAACTAGTAGTAAGTAGTAGTAAGTAGTAGTAAGTAGTAGTAAGTAGTAGTAAGTAGTAGTAAGTAGTAGTAAGTAGTAGTAAGTAGCAGTAAGTAGCAGCAAGCAGTAGTAAGTAGTAGTAAGTAGTAGTAAGTAGTAGTAAGTAGCAGTAAGTAGTAGTAAGTAGTAGTAAGTAGTAGTAAGTAGTAGTAAGTAGTAGTACGTAGTAGTAAGTAGTAGTAAGTAGTACCAGGTAGTAGTAAGTCGCAGTAAGTCGTAGCAAGCGCCAGTAAGCAGTAGTAAGTAGCAGTAAGCAGTAGTAAGTAGTAGTAAGTAGTAGTAGGTAGTAGAAAGTAGTAGTAAGGAGTAGTAAATAGTAGTAAGTAGTAAGTAGTAAGTAGAAAGTAGTAAGTAGTAAGTAGTAAGTAGTAAGTAGTAAGTAGTAAGTAGTAAGTAGTAAGTAGTAAGTAGTAAGTAGTAAGTAGTAAGTAGTAAGTAGTAAGTAGTAAGTAGCAAGTAGCAAGTAGCAAGTAGCAAGTAGTAAGTAGTAAGTAGTAAGTAGTAAGTAGTAAGTAGTAAGTAGTAAGTAGTAAGTAGTAAGTAGTAAGTGTAAGTAGTAAGTAGTAAGTAGTAAGTAGTAATAGTCAGTAAGTCGTAGTAAGTAGTAGTAAGTAGAAGTAAGTCGTAGTAAGTTCTAAGTAGTAGTAAGTAGAAGTAAGTAGAAGTAAGTAGTAGTAAGTAGTAGTAAGTAATAGTGAGTAGTAGTAAGTAGTAGTAAGTAGTAGCAAGTAGTAGCAAGTAGTAGTAAGTAGTAGTAAGTAGTAGTAAGTAGTAGTAAGTAGTAGTAAGTAGTAGTAAGTAGTAGTAAGTAGTAGTAAGTAGTAGTAAGCAGTAGTAAGTAGCAGTAAGTAGTACTAAGTAGTAGTAAGTAGTGGGTGGTAGTAAGTAATATGTAGTAAGTAGCAAGTTGCAAGTAGCAAGTAGCAAGTAGTAAGTAGCAAGTAGTAAGTAGTAAGTAGCAAGTAGCAAATAGCAAAAGTAGTAGTAAGTAGTAAGTAGCAAGTAGTAAGTGGGCGGTAGTAAGTCGTAAGTAGTAAGTCGGAAGTCGGAAGTCGTGCGTCGTAAGTCGCAAGTCGTAAGTAGTAAGTCGCAACTCGTAAGTAGTCAGTAGTAAGAAGTAAGTAGTGAGCAGTGTAGTAAGTAGTACGTAGTAAGTACTACGTAGTAAGTAGCAAGTAGGAAGTCGAAAGTACTACGAAGTACGCACGACGTAGTAAGTAGCAAGTAGTAAGCGGTAAGTGGAAAGTGGCAAGAGTGGTAAGTGCCCTGCAAGTAGCAAGTAGAAGGTAGTAAGTAGTACATAGTAAGTAGTAAGTACAGTAGTTAGTAGTGAGTAGGTAGTACTTACTAAGTACTTAGTACTTCGTAGTTTGTAGTCAATAGTGGTAGTCGTGGTAGCAGTAGCAGAAGTAGCAGTCGTAGTAATAGTCGTAGTAGTAGTCGTAGTAGTAGTCGTCGTCGTAGTAGTAGTCGTCGTCGTCGTGGTAGTAGTGGTAGTGGTAGTGGTAGTGGTAGTGGTAGTGGGAGTGGGAGTGGTGGTGGTGGTGGTGGTGGTGGTGGTGGTGGTGGTGGTGGTGGTGGTAATGGTAGCAACAGCAACAGCAACAGCAACAGCAACAGTAGTAGTAGTAGTAGTAGTAGTAGTAGTAGTAGTAGTAGTAGCAGTCGTAAGTAGTAAGCAGTAAGTAGTAAGTAGTAAGTAGTAAGTAGTAAGGAGTAAGGAGTAAGTAGTAAGTAGTTATTATTATTATTAGTAGTAGTAGTAGTACTAGAAGTAGTAGTAGTAGTAGTAGTAGTAGTAGTAGTAGTAGTAGTAGTAGTAGTAGCCAGCGGCGCTTTAACCGTACATACTTTTTAGGGTTTAGGGTTTAGGGTTTCGGGTTTCGGGTTTCGGGTTTCGGGTTTAGGGTTTAGGGTTTAGGCTTTAGGGTTTAGGGTCCTTAAACGGAAACATGACTCTTTAACCACAACATAGAGCTGCCGCCTTGGCGAAACACATGTTTCACAGACGAAAAGGGTTCAGTTTACGCGCCGCCGGGTAGTAGTAGTAGCAGCAGCAGCAAAAAGCAGTAGTAGTAGTAGTAGTAGTAGTAGTAGTAGTAGGAGTAGCAGTAGCAGTAGCAGTAGCAGTAGTAGTAGCAGTTGTAGTAGTAGTCGTAGTAGTAGTAGTAGTAGTAGCAGCAGTAGTAGTAGTAGTAGTAGTAGTAGTAGTAGTAATAGTAGTAGTAGTAGTAGTAGTAGTAGTAGTAGTAATAGTAGTCGTAGCAGTAGTAATAGTAGGGGGGCAGCAGCTAAAGCCATGCCTACCCGGCTTCAAGCTTCCTGTACGCGCTTTACGACATCAGAACCAGTGCAACTCAAATCGATGTGAGGGTTGATCGAAGGTCCGCGTCTGCAAAACGTGGCTTCAAGGTGTGAAACAATGTGTTGGCGACAGTCTGACGTACTTCAAGTTGCATCTGGGTGGTTTGCCTTCTATTTTTGAGGCGGAAGTGTGTGTCGAAGTTGCCTACTATTTCTTCTTCTTCTACTACCACTACTACCACTACTACCACTACTACCTACTACCTACTGCTACTGCTACTACTACTACTACTACTACTACTACTACTACTACTACTACTACTACTACTACTACTACTACCACTACCACTACCACTACCACTACTATCACTACTACCAGTACTACCACTACTACCACTACTGCCACTGCTACCAATACTGCCACTACTGCCACTACTCCCACTACTACCACTACTACCACACTGCTACCACTACTACCATTACTACCACTGCTACCACTACTACCACTACTACCACTACTAACACTACTAACACTTTTACCACTGCCACCACTGCCACCACTACCACCACTACCACCACTACCACCACTACCACCACTACCACCACTACCACCACTACCACCACTACCACCACTACCACCACTACCACCACTACCACCACTACCACCTCCCTTCTTGCAGGCCTCTGCATGCAGGAATTCACAACGCAACGCAGCGTTAAATGGCCCCGTACAGCCATGTCGTTTCTTCATGCTGTCACGCTTCTGTAAGTCCCGGACCAAGGGTGATTGATCCATGGTGAATCATCCGTGCCTTCGAAAACTGTGTGCAGGCCGGTACATTACCTGAAAGTAGGATGCAACTCATCCCTCCACCAGTTCTACAACCCAGAGAAGCTGAGCTAGCATGCAATCGGCTCTCTCATGGCATGAGAAGAGACAACTGCATGCACGCATGCCATCATTCAAGAATGATGCCGGTGAATGTCTGCACCCTGCACCATTTTGAACGACAGTACGACAAAAAAGTCATACAAGGATTCCTTGTACCTGCCGGCACCACGGATGCTAACTTTACACATGGGGTGATGCCCGCTTGGCTGCCAGCCTGACACCTTTATCTACATCGCGACTGGCCCAAAACTGCTGAGCTAGGTGCCCCAAACCCGCTCAAAGAGCTGCTCAGCCTTTGTGCACGAGGCCACAACTAACTTAAAATCCACGTGGCATTGTAGAGTCAGTCGTCTTTATCGGAACATAATCTGTCTAGTGCTTGTCTCCTGCGATACTGAGTCACGTTCTTCATGAGCCGCAGACCCAACTGGCTCCTTTAACGAAGAAGATGCCTGTGTTGAGCATGGCACTGTCTTCGCTGACAATCATGTGGACCTGCTTTTGCAAAGCCAGGCACTGCAGCATACATCTCACACCTGATGCCAATGCGGCCCAAGCGTTCAATTTAGCCGGTTTCTACTCAGCCCTTACTCAGGGATTGTCCAGGAGGGTATGGGTGGACCCACGAGTTGGCACAAATCAGATATGCACACATCGAGCAGCTTGCAGCCTGAGGATCCAGGGTCAGCTCGCCTGACTCAAAAGCCCATTCGTGAACGCGTTAATGAAGAAAAAGCTCTGACAATGCAAACAGCGGCTGAAAAGGGAGGAACCCTTCGCCGTGTCACGAAATGGTGCAGACGGGCTATAGAAAGTATTTTGTATTCACTATGACTCACCGTGTCCCAAGTTCCCGGCCGCGCTCTTCGATGCCCGCGTAGGTGAAAAGGACGCTTTCCACCGTGACACTGTCAAGTGATGTCAAGTGAATGTCTGGTTGTAGTTGCAATTCCGTTTACTGATTTGTGGATATTTACCCGTCATCGCAAAGCGGCTAACAAGAAGCCTGGTCCAGCCTCCTGCTAACAGCACTTGTGTTGTACAGAGACTGTCTGGCCTCATGTTCATGAAGTACGTGTCGCAGTCTGCCCAAACAACCTGGCTGGTTGTTCACAAAACTGCAATACGCGAAGGGCTGGTCGGATCCTCTTGGAAGCTGAGGCATGCGCCCAGTCCCACTTTCCGGATTTGACCTCTCTCTCCATGAGCCTTGCATGTTGCCAGGAGGAATTTGGAGGAATATATCAACGTGAAAAAGAGGAGTCTGTCAGAACAATCGTGGGCGAAACATGGTCAAAAGCGTAAACCATTGAACAGTGATGCTTTAAGCAGCCAGGGAGCTTGATCTTTCCCCAGGCTGGCGGCCTACGGTCACCCATGCTTCCCAAAACGGAGGCTCAGATTTTCTGCAGATTGTCACTGGGAGCCTTTGGGAGTCCACCTGTTTCGTCTCTAGGACGTACCTGGGAGGCACTGGGAGAGCCGAGAGGTTCGGGGGGCCGATTACAGGGACCAGGATCTCCGTTCTCTGGCGCAGCTTCTCTTTTCGCGGGGGGCGGTGTGGGCTCTTTCCTTTGAAAGCCCTCAGATCGAGTCTATCAGAGTCTCAGATCGCACTGAGCATCTCGGCACCTGAGATTGCTTGAGCATTGAACGAGAGATGATGGGCAAGAACAAGAGCAAGCCCCCGCAGCCAGAGAGCTGTTCCCCACGCTGTTTAAATACACGAACACATCGGTGCCATACCTGGCATGTCCAAGGTGCATCAACTTGCGACTGCCAGTCACTATTCACGAATTATTCGGCCCAAAGGAGATCCCCCAGGCTTCAAACCCGGACCTGGGGAGCGTCTGCAGCTTGAGCCGGCCTTCAAACGTGGGCTAATCGCAACATTCGTAGCCCCTCCCTTCGGCTTGCAATGGCTTGCACGTCTGGCCTCCCAAGTACTCAGCATAGAGCCGACTCAGTGGCAGTCCACAGCCAAGCCCTGCGAGCGGTGACCTTTGACTTCAAGAGCAACTGTTTGACAAGAGTAAGGAGGCTGACTTAGGTTCACGAAGACTGCCCGAACACTTGACGATGCTAACCGTTGTTCCCGTGACTTCCAGCGACACCCTGCGATCTCCTGGCTACATCTTAATCTGCAGATGGCTGAGAGAATTCTCTCCGGTGGAACTACCTCATAAAGCACAATCATGGCAGAACGATCACAACGCAATCCTGGCCTGAGAAGAATTCGATGCTCTTGGGATGTGTCTTCGTCCTGGTCCAGCAGACCTCATATCCCAAGCTGCATGTCAGAAGCTTCTCCTTTGCACATGTCTGCACAATGTGCTTGAGGACCACTGTCAACATGCTGACGGGTTGCTATGACCAGGCTGCATTGACATTTCTACATGGCGGAGCCTCGTGGGAGCATCCACCGATTCCCTGCACATGGCAGATGCAAAGCTGCTGACACACCCGTCAAGGAAGCACATGTGTTACCCTGCAACCTGACAGCCAATCAGTCACCATGTCTGCCATTTTCCAAATGGCTAAGCATACATTCCGCGGATGACCACACAGCTCTGACATGTCCCACGATTCCGCGCACCTTGTAATCGGAAAATCCTGCGGCTGGGCAGTGGTGTAGAGGTAGGACCAGACATGAGGAAGTCTGTCCACCGGAATTCCACCTGGAACGGGCGTTGGCGAGTCACTGCCTGTTCTTCAGGCCAAGCTTTTTTGCATACCCGCTTTACTTGGGTCTCGACCAAAGGCATCCGAAGAGAAGAAGCAATGAGGCCAAAAGGACAGTTGGATGGATTCTCACATACATTTGGAGTGAAATGGAGGAATAAGCCAGATTTGTGTCGGCCCTCGACCTCTAACCCTTGTTGAGTCTCTGAATCCTTCTCGTTGTTGCTTTACTCTTTTGTTGTTGTTTTTCTTTTTTTTTTTGGGGGGGGGGGGGGGGCTTCTATCACATGATTGATTTCTGCTAATTTCATCCTCCTCCGCTGGTTGCTGTTGCCAGTGCCGTGCCTGCTAGGATTTGTGATGGTACCTGTAAGACTCAGGCACGTGCTCTGTTGATGGCATTTTTGGTGAAGCCTGAGACTTTCGAACGGTTTCTCCGAGCTCCTCCTGCAAAATGGTTCCGTCGAAAGGACATAAGGTCATAGCCCTCGTTGCTTCATATTCCCACAGGCTCCCTCGTACTCTGAAAGGGTGAGAGAACTTGCGCCGAACTGATGTTTTCTAAGAGCTGATCTTTTTGGATACCAGGGCTCTTTTGTCTTACTCTGTTCATCTCTGTTGTGGGTAGCCACACAATTATCCCTTCATGACATTTTGACACCGCCAATGGCGTCCGTCATTGAGCAGAATTGGAAGAAGGATGGCATTCAGGCCCCTTTCTCGGACTTGTCCTGGCCTCCTGTGTCAGAGATGCGAACGCTGGTGACGCCCCGTCCAGTGCACACCTCAACAAGACTTTGCAGCATCTCCTCGCTGCCATGAAGTATGAACAGACGAACCTGACACCAAGCTTGACTGAGGTAGCTAGGGGTCTGACAACCAAAGAGATCGGCACCATATCGGAGTTTCCAGAGAATGAATGCTGCTCCACGGTTGCCCGAACAGCATTCTTTAGCAGCTCAGAAAGGATGTAGAACATGTAGCGTGGTACGAAGGTGAACGGCACCTTGCAGACATTGAACCAGTCTTTGCAAGTCAAGAATGCTGCTGCAGCAGAATCAGCAAACATAAAACCGCCGAATGTCACAACACCAAGTCAAGTGTAATTGTGCAAGATAACCTACATCTTCACAGCCCTGTCGCATTAGGCACACATGCCGTCGGCTGTGCATTCACAAGACGAGTCACAGCCCCAGCATCTGTGACGATGATTTTTGGCGCGGATCCGTACCACTCGTGGCAAAGATTCTGAATAACATTTGCAGCATGCTCGGCAATCTTCAGGGGATCGCCTGGGTTTGGTGCAACAAAACTTCACATTCTTTCTCAATCAGCCTCAGCATACCTCAGCCGCACTTCAGACAAGCTGCACTTGGTGCTGATGAAGCTCTGATAGGGGTCGAAGCTCGCATCAGCTTCACCTTTCTCCACATCTCTCTGGGAATGTTGCGAATGAAACACAAGCTGCTTCTCGTCTGATGCTGCTGGAGCAACAGTCAGCCAAGCTTCTGCCCTGCGATGCGTCATTCGCTATCTCAAGGAACTGGGAGATGAGCAAGTTGGTCGATATGCGTAATTTGAAAAACTGGTCCAGCCTTGGACTTTCCCAACTTTACCATTGGAGTCTGCAAGGGAACGGTGTACGTCCAAGTGCGCCTCTACATGTGTCCAGTCGTGTCCGTAAAGCGATGCACACTTGACGTCTCTGACATGGCCTGAAGCACCTCCAAGCCTGCTTTCTGACGAAAGGAGTCATGAATCTTTACCTAGACAACTGGAGAATGCTGGGGGGACAGGACGAGAACAGGCATCCAGTTAAGACTGCGGCGCTACGCTTGAGATATCCAGACGCGAGCTGAGATGAGGATACATGTTTGTCAACACCTGGCTTGACCTTGGCCAATCTTTGCTGAATAGCGGCCAATCGTTGATCTGAGTCTCGGTCAGCTGCTCTTGCTGCAGATACTCCTACGGAAAGACAGCTTTGGAACGACATGGAACGACAACGATAAGAGCAAGTAGTATATGAAATATCAGAAGTTACGAGTATCAGCATGCAACAGCCACAAAGCAACGAGAAAGAGTTTGCAAATGGCCAGGTGATGCCGTCCTTGAAGCCCTGCACGAGCAGGTTTGTCCGAGTATGGCGACGCTTGATTTTTGCCAAGGCTAGCCTTCCATCTCAAAAACATCCGATGCGTCACATGCTGGTCTCGCTCTTTATTTACAAGACAAAGCAATTGACAGAACTCCCCGCAGCCACAAACAAGGCTTGCAACTGACAGCGGCAAAAGTCCACACAAAAGACAGAGCTTTCGGAGGTTGTAAGCTGTCAGTCCCCATCAACATCTGCAACATCTTATAACAGTTCGAGAAAAGCTGCCAGGCGACCTGAGCTCAGATTCGGACAAGCCTTCTGCACTGCATAGCCGAAGCTCCTGTCGCTTTCGATTGGTCGCAGCCATTTTTCAGACTTCCCTTCTGCAAGCAAAAAAAAAGTGCGGAGGCGGAGCCTTGAAAGACTTGATGTACATCTCCCGGACATGCCTCTTTCACGCGTTCACGCGTCTCTCTCGCACGTCATCGGGCATGACAGTGACGCTTGCCTGATGCTCTCCTTGTCTTGCCAATGCGGCAAGGCCTCGGGGTTGGGCAAGTTGGGCACTTCCGTGATTTGTGGTGTCCTCCGAGATTCCCAATGAAAGTGCCTCCAACATCGAGATGCGCCTTGCGTATCGTACAGGGAGTTCCTCACAGATCTGCAATGATCTGCACATGAACGCAAAGCAACACGTCCCAATGACCAGCCGACCCCAGCCTCATTCAGAAGCGCGGTCAGGGTGTCAGGAGTTTGTCCCAAGTCCATCATGTCACGCACGGACAAGCTGCGAGCCTCTTCGAGTTTTGCAAACACAGAGAAACACAGAGAGCTAGAACTGGGGCTCGTCATGGCTGAGCAACAGGAAATGGAGGAACAACACACCTCGTGCATCGCCATGGTGGTGATCTCTGCAGCGAGCAGCTGATCAAGGCGGCCTTCGCCTTTGTTCCGGAGAGGCTCGGAGAGTGACTCAGAGTGACTCAGCCAACATGGCTCACAGCAGCGGACAGCGGACAGCTCCGCAGAGAAAGGAACAAAGAGGCCCTCGCTGATGGCCACATTGTTCCGTGGTCGGAGAAGGCCCAAAGCATAGTTTCGTCGACCCAAACCTCTATAATGTCATCCAAAAGCGGCATACAAGTATCTTGCTGCTCCATGCATCTTTTGCCATGTGCGCCATGGAAGCGAAGGAACGCCGAAGGCTGCGTTGGCAGAATCTTGCAGCCATTGCAGTGGAAGAACAGCATTTGGCAATGGCGGACATGGCTTGAGGGACTCTTCTAAGGGACCTCTGGGCAGTGCCTCAAGAAGAAGTAGCTTTTGAATGATCTCGAGATGGTGGGCTCAGAGGTAGTGCTTCATGCGATGCAACAACTCTGAGCATGAAAGGTTGACAGCCTTGTTCTCTATTAGCCTAAGGCTGAGGAGCCAGGCTCACATCAAGACCAGCCCAGCACCGCAAAAGCCCCAAGAACCAACGGGAAGCCACAACATCCACAGCCTTTGGATGCACTTTGACTTTGGAGCCCCTGCTTTAAATCTGGCGCACGAGTAGCCGTGTTTTGCCGCGTATGTTCCTTCCACGTTCCAAAGGTCATAGTCATAATGTCACAAAAGAGCTCAATGGCAAGCTTGCTCACACACTGTCAGACTGTAGCTGCCTTGGTTGGACGAGGAAAAGCGCGGGAGCGGATGATCTGGCGGATAGGCCTCAGAATGTTGGTCAGAGATTTGGTCGTGTTGGGGTGCTTCTAGCATTGGCAATGAGCAAACGGATGAGCTGTCTTTTTCCACCGCCGGTCACGCACAACTCGCATCGACTAGCTTGCCACTCGCACTGTCGACAAGTGCCGCTCTGTGGACAGTGGGGCAGGCTCCCCACCAACGGGCCTTGTACCGATAACGATAGTCGGCAGCGGCAACGGTAACGTTGACGTCATGTGTCATGGCCAGGATTTGGCCGCGTTAACGGCGCCGAGGTGGCATCAACCTGCTAGTCAGCTAGTCCCAGCTGCGCATTCCACGTGGACTCCGTGCTCGCTGAGCGGGAGACCTGAAACATATTGAAACATCACCGTCTGATACTGAAAGGATGTGAGGGGTCGCGTCATGCAAGCCGTACACTTCAAATCACTTCAACTTCTGGGGCGCCCAACCATGAGCGTGATCGGCTCGAGCGCCTTCTACGCGGACTCGGTCTGCGGCTGTCCTGGGACGACATCAGATCACCAGAATCTTTGTACCAAATCTCAAAGGCAAGTGAACGAGCAAGTCACACCCACATCCATACATCCTTTCAACTGCCTGTGTGTCTGTCTGTGTGTGCGCGCGCATCGGATGCTAGATGGTGCTATCAAAGTGTCAGCTCATAACATGCTGCAACGTTTTTTCTGGGCTCTGGTGGGCTCATGTAGCTGTGAGACAGCTCGTCTTTCTGCTTGATTGACTGAGTAAACCCCTCTCGCTTGGTGTTCTTCCAAAGACGCGAGATCCGGTGGCACCGAGAGGGGGGATGAAGGCAACCGGGAGGCGAGCGAGGTCGGGTGGATTTCCGCGATCGACTTATCGGATTCCTAACAGTTCCAAACCCTGCGCTGGAACCCCATGGCACCCCTGCTTTGGCGGATTCTTGTGGCACACGTTTGCGCATCGAAGCATGAAAGCCCGTCAGCTTTCACTCCAGTAGAAGGGCGGTCGCGGCATGTTTTGCAGCACTGCAGCACATGAACGTCCGCATGAACATGAAGGCCTCTCAAGCAGCGCCCGTTGCTTTTGAGCTTCCCGCCCCTCCACCCGGGGAATCTGGTGCAGAACGCGACCGGCCAGCACCTCGCTTGCATTCTGCACCCAGCTGACTCCCACTCCAATCAGAGGAGATTTTCGTGACGATGTCGCCGGCGTGTTCAATGTCGGGTGCCACCTTCACTCAAACCTCCACGATCTGTCAAGAAATTTCGGCCAAGGGAACCAGGAGCGTCGTGCCGCCACAGCCCAAAGACCATCAGCTGTCCGTTGACGGACTCGTCCTTGCCATAGCCCTTCAAGAGATGTTTTGTGACACCCTGTCCGAAGGCCTGCCATGCTGCACGAACAGCGACGAAGGGGCAAGGGTGCGCAGGAGGAGGCACGGGACAGCGCATGGTGACCGGGCTTGTCCCGCTCGGGGGCTGCGTGCCATGGTGGCGGCACAACGGTGCCAGGCCAGCTCAGCGCGGTGAGGCCAAGCAGCAAGGGCTTGCAGGACTGCACTGCCGCAAGACACCGGCAAGTGGCACGGTATTCCTGGAAGGGCAGCCGCGTGAACCTCGCTATGACATGCAAGCAAGCACGCGTGGGGCCAAGGCTTCGACACACCTGCACACGTCCTGGTAGGATCCAGGGAAGCTCCAAGCTAACCGGCCGCCAAGGCCAGAGCGCATGGCCCACGCGCACAGGAGACCACGGCTAGTTTCTTGCAAGCGGACAAAAAGGGCATTGCTTGCATCGGCGTGGTGGAGAATGGTTTCAAGCCGCATGTTTTGCGGAAGCATGCGATGTTGATAGACAAGAGGTTCAGTGGGAAAGCGTGTGGGGGGTTCGGCGATTGCTGCCCCGGAGAGGGCGGACTGGGCAACTAGACTGGTTAGGCTGGGGCTGGCGTGCAAGGCACCCAGCAGGCTCGCCCCCTCTGGATGCGACGTGTCGTAGCAGTGCGAGCGAGGCGATGCTTGTGTAAGTCTGCTTCACCGCCACCGCGAGGTCAAGAGAGCGAGATCAAGCGCACAATTGTTCGATGGATGTCGGGGTGGGACACGGGATGATGGAGAGTAAAATCACACGACAAGTCGACAGAGTGCTTCCAAAAGCCTTTGAGTCCATGGGATTCCAGGCTGTGGACTAGCCTTGCCCTCGTTGCGTTTGCTTTGGGTTCCCGGCCTGACCTTGTCTTCTTTGCGGCTTGCTGGATGGACGGATGCCTGGGAACCTATGAAACATCCGGACTCGTCATGCCTAAGGTGCCAAATCCGTATGGGCAGTTCTTTGGCACCGCTGCTGTGTGTGTTTTTGCGAAGACGGTCATGACTCCTTGGAGAAGCGTTCTCATTGCATCCCCATCCTTCACACAATGCAGCACATACAGTGTATATGCTTATCTCCATCTGTCTCTGCAAACTCTCCCCAACTAGACATTGATTCTTACGACTTCGCCCAGCACCGGAAACCGTTGAAACTGTGGGTGGGTCTGTTGCATATATTGATTAAAACTAGTTCAGAAGATGGGCAGAGCGTGAGCGTGCTCGACCACGTCGATCCATGTCGTTGCCTCGAGCACACGTACATAAGCAACCCACAAGACGATGACAGTGCTCACTTGCATTGCTATCCCTCTTACCTCGAAGCTTGCTGCGCAAACTCTTAGCCATGGGCGCAGCTTCTCGTCAATCATCTCATTGACGAGTCCTCAGACGTACGCACGCACGCGAGGCCTAGGGCCTAGGGCCCTGTCTTCTGGCAACTTCTTGTTTACACTGTTTGTCAAAGGAGCGTTCGGCATGACGACGGCCACCAATGCCGGTCTTGGTCCCCGCAAAGGTGCTGAAGATGAGCAACCTTGCGCACGTCAAAGCACATCACATCCTTTTCCAACAAGCCTGGTAGTATCTGGCAAGCTGAAGCTTACAACCATCACTGTGACGATACTGTTAGGGAGCAGCTGCCAAGTCAGACTGTGGCCAAAGAAAGGAGCCTTTCATCACCTCGTGAATCCAAGGCCATGAACATGAACGTGCCGGTCTCCTGCTCCCGGCCACGCCCATGACATCTTGATTTCAACTTTAGATTCTTTAGCTGTGCAGTGAGCTGCCATGCCAGTCTCGGCTCATGTCGGCTCCTGCTCCATGCGCCGAAGTTCGCTTCCACGGTTGCCTTCAGGAGATGGACAGTCGGACACCAGCTTTCAAGGTAGCGCCCCTGCGATGTGTGGGCCACAAAATGCACAATAAGAACACATGCGCTCACCACAGAAAGCAGATCAACGCGGATTGTGCAGCGTGCTGCGGAGCTCCGTGGGCAGCATGCCGACACTATCGTCAAAAGCAGACAGGACCCTGACTGGACTCTCCTCAGCTCAGTAATCTGCCCATTCTCTCCACACTTGCAAGATCTTGCAAGTCAAGAGCAAAGCTGGCAAAGCCGCCTGTGACCCAGCCTTTGCAACTGTCTGGGATTTTGACCTTCGCTACCAAACATCCCCATGAGCTGGCACTTCATGGGCACTTTCTTGCATCATTCCATGTGTGACGTCTGTGCTGTGTAGGACTAAACCAGGCCTCCGTCACATCATCTCGGCGAGATAGATCCTTCCGCGACATGTGACTTTCACGGCAGATGTGGGCAGCATCGACAGCATCCGTCCGTGATGGTCACAGAGCCACGTCGCTGTTGGAGAAGCCAGTTCACCTGCGCATCGGCCGAGCAGCGCAGATTTCTCGAAGTATTGATGAGAGCATTCCCTGCTCTCTTCCATATGCCACTCTTTCGAACTTTCAATTCCTAAACTAAAGCGGCAAGCGACGAACTCCCGACATCTTCGGCGCTCTTTGAGCGTTCCAGCGATGAAGGCCTGCAGCTACGAAGAAAATAAATTTGCAAACAAAGAAAGAAAGTGGGAAAGAATGGGAGAAGAGGTTGACTTAACATGCCATTATACTTGACGGCTCGCGCTCTCTCTCTCTCTCTATACTTGTGCTCTCTCTCGCTCTCTCTCTCTCCTCTTTTTCTGAGACGAGGCACAACATGTCCAACATACTGCAGTATAGCTCCAGAAGCAAGCTCTAGCTTCTTTCTCGTGGCGCCATCTTTGCCTTGCAAAAGTATGCCACAGAGCATTCGCACTTTGGACCTTCGCCGTGTTCCAGTGCTGACAACACCACAAGTGACAGACGAGCAGCCCAGGGCGTAACCTTAGCAGTTGAGATTGCTACACAAAGACAACTTCCCTTTGAATCCGGCCGATGTGTGGGTGTGTGTGTGTGTGTGTCCACATGATGTCCCCTTGCTGCAACCTAGGTGCTCAACTCATCGTCACGAAAAAGCATGCGGTCCGTGTCAAAGCCTCGTCTTTCCGACTGCTTTTCTCGGATACCTGGCAGCGCTCAGGCTCATATAGACTCATGTGAAGTCCCTCATTGTCCTTACATTGCTGATACTGTCCTACATACCAAAGTAGTGGCCTGCCTCGTGTGAAGAATCCAGGACTTTTCGTTTCAATCCCTTAGGCTGAGGACTCAAAACCGGGGCAGGAGAGCTGACCTCGCAAACTGAAGGACTATGAAAGGCAGGCAGCCACTCATCACCTTCAGCTCCGAGCCACGACCTGATCTCGATTGAGGAGAACATGCAGCCCAGCTCCGCTTAGCACATGTATTCTACACTCCTGGCCACACCGTACACCCACTGTACACTCCGCTCGCACAGGCGCAAATGCCAAGCACGATGAGCAACGAAAGTTTGAAAGATGGCTTTGCGTATTGACGACTGTTGCTGACAAGCAGCGCGGCCGCTGTGGTCCTTAGCAAACCCGACAAGGTCAGATTCCGTAGATTTCGGTAGGATGTAGGATGAGGCGTACTTGCGAATCAAGCTTTCCATGCAAATAGAGGCGCCGAAGATGGCCAGCCTCTCCGTGCCGCCTCCACGGCTTCCGCGTGCGCCGTCCTCACCTAAATGTTTTAAGCGAAGCCGGCAATGGAGAAGAAGCAGCATAGTGCGAAGAATTGCGAAGATCTGTGAAGGTGCTCCGAAGAGAGACCCACTGGGCAGAGAAGAGCAGTCACGCGACCAACCCAGCACGACGCAAGGTTCATCCAAGGTGCTCATGAAGAACATGAGGGTTCCCCACTCCTGACAAAATGGATGCGACAGGCCACAAATTTGCAAGCCTTAAGCTTCTTGTCCAAACGTTCGAAATTTAAACTCAAGCCGTCCTCTTCCATGAGGCCGAGCGTAGCACGGCGATTGCCTGCACTAGCACAGAACCACCCTCAAGTCCATTAGCATGGTAGTGCTCCGGTTGAAAGCATCAAGCAACTGCAAGAACATGACCGCACGAGTGCAGTTGAAACTTGAGACAATGCAGGCACGGTGCCGGTGATGTACCCGATGCAGTCACCTGAGGCGCCAATTGCAGAAGCAGAGACAGCGTGTTCAGCGCATTTCCACATATTTCAGCAGCATCGCTTGCTCCTGCTGCATCCAAGGCTCTGGGGATATCGACAACAGTGCAGTCTTCCCGATCCTCCCAGCCGGCCACATAAACGGGACCTTCCAGCTGCTGAAAGAGCCACTTCATGTACCTCAGAGCAGAGACTTGCTGCTCTGCCCACTATGCCCTGTTCTGCCCACCATGCCCTTAGCGCCCTTAGCGCCCTTGCCTGTTCACATGTTGCATGGGATGCCTAGGATGCCTGCAGTCAGGGAGCTCACGCACCCTGCAGCGCTCTGCCTTGGTGCCTGAGACGACTGCCACCATACCCACCTTGGAGGTCAAGACCGGACCGCACATGATCGAAAAATCTACGCATCTTCCGATGAGCGATCTCAGAGACTCCAGATGCCAATGTCGGGGGCTGTTCTCATAGAGGCAGGCCACATACTGGACAATTGCACCGGATGAACGTTCCAGCTTCTTCCTCCACAGCACACGTGGCAATACCTGAACCTCCCTTACTTCGCTTCGCTCCCTTCATGCTCTGAAAGGGAAAGTGCCGCGACTCCTGGTGCCACCCTGCTTGCCCAGAGCATATGAAATCTCACCTTCGTCTCGAAACGTCATAGTGTCCTCATGCTCTGTTGTGCCATCTTCCCAAAGTGCATTTCGATGCATTAAATCAGAAGCACATAGAATTACCTAGAAAACACTAGACTGAGCCGATGCAAACCGGAAAAAGGCACATTGCAGCCGCAGTGCTGTTCCCCAAGTGGCAGTGGGATCCTGTATGTCAGGGCTCGGGTGCTGGGGTGCTGGACATACGTGCAGATGCACAACCACCATCAACCACCCTGCAGTTGAACGAGCCGACCTTGTACTTGTCACGGCTGATGATCTTGGTGTGTCTGTGTGTGCGGCAAAACTCTGCTTCATGTGAAATTAGCGGGGTGCTTTCGCAATCTACTCCACCATGTGTCTTACCTTGACATGCAGAGAGCATGTCTGTTTTTTGGAAACAGGAATGGGGCTGCATTCGCTGTGGTCCTACCTACCCTGGATTCAAGTTCTTGGTGGACTATTGTGAGGTTCGTGGTGGATGTTGAAGCTCCCAAAGCAAAGAAAACGTAAAGTGAAATTGATCAGTAGGACTGGATGTCTGCTGACCTTCTGAGAACTGAGAGACTTGTATCGCCCGGCAAGCCGCCATCTCGCGCACGGAGGCAAAGTAGCCAGACATCTTCGTCTCAACTGCGCTGAGGACTTTCAACTCTGAGCCGCGCCGACCCCGGATGCTACCTGCGCCGAACGACGTAACGACGTGGCACCAAGTTCCCTCAGAAGACAATGGATCGAAGGACGCCAAAGCGACAAAGAGTGACCGAAACCGATGCCGAAAGCGGCCGGGGAACCAAAGATCGCCAGGCGTTGTGCTTTCGAGAGGTCAGTGTCGATGAAGACCTGAACTCGACCCACGAAGACAAGGTGCCATCGCCAATGTCCCAAGCGTCTCGGGTGTCCCGGTGTTCCCACAGAAACCCCAGCTGGCGAGGAGCCATGAGAGTTCCCCATTCCTCCTCGATGCTGCGCAGCACGCTGCCGCCCTGACCCTGGACGTAACCCACCTCGGACGGGCGCCAGATTTCAGTTCCGAGTGTGCCTAAAACATCCGAAACCTAAGAAAGCCACGACATCCGGAGGCACGCTCAGGACCGTGAGGTCTCCATCCTCGAAGTCATCAGTGATGACATTTGGGCCTCACACGAAAGGCTTCGTGGAATCCCGTCTTGCAACAAGGCTGCATCGCTGCTAGCGGGATCCCCACATCATAAGGAAACATAACAAAGCGCTTGTGCAGGAGTTACTCATCTACATCCTGCGACATCCTGCCGCTACGACCTGCACTGTGGCACTGATTCTGTCCTCATTCGCACAATGTTCAAGAACTTTTCTGAACTCAGCTGAGGGCCCATTCGCTGCTTCATGATCTCAGCTCCAGCTTGACTCATTCATGTTTGCTACAAACATCGCAGCACATCGTAGCCAAGCAGCAATGTTCGCATACTTCCTGGGAGGAATATACGATGCATACTCTGATCACATCAGAATCAAGACAACTAGCAGCTGGCGAAACCATGGGCTTGAACATGCACAGAGGCCACGAAGGCCTGACAAGTACAAGTGTTATCCCCTCAGTTGCTCGGAGCTCGAGCCATCCAGAACACTAGCGGGGTATTTGATCCGAAGCTCTTCGCTCTGCGTCTTTGCAAGTCCGTACCTCTCATCTCCAGAACGAGGTCCTTGTCGAGAAGCCTTGGATAGACACCGTCCAGAACATGCTGCAGTGATCCAAATCCAGCCAATAGGACCCTTTAGGCATATTCGCACTCGTTCAGGCAAGGCACTCGACCTCAGCCTCTGACACACGCGCAATTCGCTCCACAGTGCGCCCACCAGCGCCAAACGTCAAGGCTGCAGCGTCATCAGCCGTTATTCTCCTCGGCTTGGCAGGGGTCTTATCAGATTTGCGAGCGGAGTCTCGACTATTTCGTGACGCACCCGCTCACGGGACTCTTCTGAATGCCTATTCAAGTTTGTAGGGCATTCACCTGACTTGAGGTGTATTGCTGGAGCCGAGTCAGGGTCTGGGCGTACCAGACACTGCACAGGAAACCCCTGCAACAGGTGCATGAGGAGAAGAGTACACCACAGTCCGCAGCAATTCCCAAAAAAAGTAAGCCGCAGAAGGACAACGGGAGGGAGCCCCAAACTCCCAACAGTTGTGTGCTCACAGAAGGAACTGCTAGCTCCATCGTTCAGGAACGATCTTCTGCTTGCAGAACATGTGCCAGGTCATAATGTGCACATACTTGTCAAGGGGTTCGCGAGGTGCCCAACTCAACCTTTTTGGAAAAACATCATTACCCAAAGTGTATACTTTAGGGCTGCAAGGGTCCTGTTTCTTTCTAAGAATTCCGACCTAGCCAAATGCATGCCAAATGCTCCGCCGGGCCCCTGGGCTGTTTGTCCTTCTCTCCCCTTCGTCTTCCTTCATGTGAGTGGCCTTGGCCGGGTCCCTGGGCTGCTTGTCTCGGCTTGTCTCCCCTTTGTCTCCCTGGCCTGGTCCCTGGCTACCTCCCCTTTGTCGTCTCCTGCCTGTTGGTGGCCTTGAGCGGGTCTCTGGGCTGCTCATTCCCGCTTCTCCCCTTGGTCACCTGTCATGTGGGCTTGTTGACCCAATGCCCACCCCTGAAGCGTGGATGTGCGCAATATCCACCCCTCAGACGTGAACGGTGGCCCAACATCCACCCCTCAAGCATGGATGTTGGCCCAAAATCCGACAAGCGTGGAAGGACACAGCGTGGGCGTGGGCACGAAAGGGCTACGTTGCCAGGAGCGGTTTTGTCATTCCCAAAACTTGATACCTTTGAACTCCAGGTCAAGGGCTTCTTTCTTGGTGGTAAAGCCAGTTTGCGCTGCAGTCTGTGAACGCGCCATTCCACTCTTAACTGTCTGTGTAATTCTACTATTATCATTATTGTTATTATGATTAAAAGCCGCGTCCAACCCCCCGATGGATAGACGAAGTTTAGAGGGTTTGGGGCCAGTAGACCTGCTAGACGGCAGGGGGTCCAAATCAGCTTTTTGGTGCATCAGCGAGCGCGGTCATCACACCCTGATTCTCCCAACCTGGCTGTTACCTTCGCGGCTCAACTGGCTAACTCCTGGAGACAGAGGTTTAGCAATGTTGTGTGCCTGTCGGTGAAACAGCAACATCGCCAGTGTGATGCTGACTCCACTCCACCTGGTCGATGACCGTCTGTCTTTTTAGTTTCTGGTGCACGGCCATCATGGTCCGCTTCAGCGTACCTCTGCATTGAGTTGGCAAGGTCTGCTCCGAGTTTGAAGCATCTCCAGCTCGGCTTCCTCACCCATAGTGGGCGAGGTGTGGAGGGGAGGGGGAGGCAGCGACGATCGCTACCGTTGGAGGCACAGCTAGAAAGAAGAGGAGTAGGATTTCTACTTGCAGCGAAGGTGGAATGGGAAGGCTCATCCGGTGCGTTCGGCATACACGGCATACGAGCATGGCTACTCCGAGCAGCCAAGTGCATCCCAAGAGCGACAAGGTCGTAACGAAAGCACAATAAACGCCATCATCTCTGCTGATGGTCCCAAGAGTCAAGCGTTCCCATCCCGAAGTGTTCACATGTGCTCCCAAGTGTTCCAAAGTGCTCCAGGTGTTCCCAATCGCGCCTAGTTAAGGTGTTCAGGACTTGTGCGGGAGAGCGGCTTGTGACAGCCTGCTTTTTGGAAAAAGAGTACGACGTGACACAAAATGCACGCCGCGCGCAGCAGCTTCGCGTCGATCAGGGTTCCTTTACTCTGAACGCGGAACGCAGTGCAAGTGCGTGGTGTCCGAAGAACTGAACACAGGCACCCCAGACAAACACACACACACACACATACATACACGAACACGACAACAAAAAACACAATTGCAAAGGTCCTCGAACCAATGCGTCTGTGAACCCCTTTGCAAGCTTGGAAATCACAAAAATTTCGATCTTTTGACGGACGCGTGTGTCGTGCTGCAGATGCACTGTCAATCATGATTGCTATTGAATTCAGAACTTGCCTTAGCTTCTCATATGTGCAGACCGGCATCATGGACTCTACGTTCCAGTCCTGAGGGCACAGCGCGTGCTTTCTGCTGTGGAGAGATTGCGATGTGCTTGCATCCAAGATTCGTTCGGCTTTCGCTGACTTGGGCTGCCATCACGACTATTGTCTCTTCTTCCTCGATTGCCCGATGAAACAAGGCAAGGGGCAATAGTCATAATACACCGAAATATGTTCGACTGGACAGCCTCTGCAGCTGTCTTGCAGCATCTTGCAGCAGATTCTGAAATTTTGCCTGGCGACGCCGCCGGCTCCCACTGCGGCTGCGATTGTTCTCCTGCATATTTCTGCATTCTGCATTGGTCAGGTCTCCTGGGGTAGCCATTGCTAGTTGGAGGTGAGGGACTGGGTTTGAATGGTTTGAAGTGTCCCCCCAAAGCTGTATGAGCCACTCAGGCAAATCACAAAACCGAGCAGAAGTAGGCACCATCGCACCCTGCCAGCCCTGCCAACCCTGCCTGCTTTGCAGCTTTTGCCGTGGCCTTTGCGGCTTCGCTCCAGTCCGACCGGATGCTTGCCTCCCAGTTGCAATTCCGGCGCTCACCTGACTGACCTTTTGGCCTGCCTCTTGAGATCCTGGGTCTATGAGTCCCTTGCCTGGCTGGGGCTTCGCTCCTCTTCACCTGAACTCATGTTCTCTTCCGTCGTGGATGCCACTACAAGGCAACAGGATTGAATAAGCAGAAACCTTCGGCACTTGACAGACGTTCCTCAAGAAACACGAACGGCCTGCGTCTTGTGCCTTGTCAGCCTCGGCACCTTGACAAAGCCAGGCATAACAGACGTGCTGTTTAAAGCGTCTGTGGAGCTTTCAGCGCAGTTTTGCACTTCAAGGGATCAGCTTTACAACATCAGATTGCATCTCCCCTCACCATGAAGGTCTTGAAGATGGTTCCAAAAGCTTGATGACCCCCTTTAAGCTGACATGGTCTTTGATCTAACATTGCCTCCAAACGTCAATAACGAGTAATGCTTACGGACAGTTCACGCGACGGTTTAATAAATCAGTCGTGCCGAGCGAAAGGTACATACATTCAACGATGAAATGCGGGCAAGCAGACTTGGCAAGCGATGTGGACGTGAAGTACAACAAAGTGGAAAGCAACGTGGAACCGAGACGCATGAGCTCATCTCATTGGCAAAAAGATCCACAACTCTGAACCTGAGCATTCTTCAAGCCCAGCTGCCAATCTCGAGACCAAAGGTCTTGGCTGCCAGCTTCCTCATGCACTGGCGAGAGAGACAAAGGGAGAGAGGGGGAGAGGGAGAGAGGGAGAGAGGGAGAGAGGGAG